AGAGAGTCAGCATATTGCCCCCAACAATCTGGGTCCTCATTTTACCCACCTCGGAAGGATGGAAGGCTGAGTCAACCCTGAGCCGGTGAGATTTGAACCGCTGACCTGCTGATCTAGCAGTAGCCTGCAGTGCTGCATTTAACCACTGCGCCACCTTGGCTCTAAATCTCCCTCCTCACCCCACTAACCTGCTTTCCAACTCCGTTCTGTGTAGGACAACTAAAGAAGACCCAGCCGATCAGCTGGGACTCCAATCAGCTGGGACTTGGGAGCAGCAAATAGATGGGGGAGGGGCCATTCAGAGGTGGTATTTGCCAGTTCTCCAAATCCACTCAACATTTCCACTACCGGTTCACCAGAACCGGTCAGAACCGGCTGAATTCCATCTCTGGATGTCGCGGATGAATAGATGGTTATATTAAAGGCTCAGGCAGGCTTCCCTGACTTTCCCTGGCACTACACATCAGCGTCTGTCACTCAGGGATGGTTGCATAGGCCACTGAAACAGCAAAGCACAGAACAGGAAGTTGGATCAACCAATCAGCATGCAGGACGCACACCCCACGTTGGGATTGGGGAGGCGTGTGCATCGACCCGACTGCAGCTACCTGCAACCTATACCTGCCCATCCAACTCTTTGCAACACATGTTTGCAGCGACGCAAACAGGCAGTTGTGGGCAACTCTAAAACAGCCTGTAGTTGTTGCGTGATGTTGCATGCAAGTATGGAAATCAGTGGCTTGGGCATGATGTCACCACACATTCTGTGTCATCTCCTTTTACCCTCAAGAATCCTAATAGGCCTGAGCAACTGATGACAACATTGTGGCAGGCTGAGATGGATGCAACTAATCCCTGGGTTGGCCCCGTCTTAACCTTGTAAAGGTTAAAACCATTTTTCTTTGACCCTGGAATTAAATAGGCTAGGAATGTAGAAGGGCTATAAAGGTGTAATATGATCCAAGCCCTGAACTCTTTGTGAATCTTTTGATGTCATATTCTGCCAAGTGAGGGTGGTTGGTTTTTTTTTTTTTTTAAGGAAGAGATAATGCTACAAGCATCTGGTAGCTGGATTACTTTCACTTTAGAATCCAATTTGGCTTTCAGCTGTTAAAGTAAAGACTTCTTTCAGTTCTTAACTAGCAGCCTCTCTCTGGATAGACATGGAGGCTAATCAACCCCCTGATAGCTAAGGAATGCACACGTGGTGCAGTTGTGACTCCTTGAGACTCTGAGCATACCATTATGTGGTGTGTATTACAGTAAACTCAAGACTTGTGTCACTTAAGGCAAGATTGCAAGATCTTCCTTCTCCAAATGCAATCATACTTGGCAAACCACCTAAAGCTAGGCAGAAATAGAACAGGGAATGTTTGGGATCAGTTAGAGCTTACTGTGTCATATCTTTAAGTCCCATTTTCTACTATTCTAACAGTGGGAAAGCTTTGTTTCTCTGTGAAGAAAGACACTGCAGAAACAATAAATGCCGTTTGTAATTCCTGCCAGGATCTTCTATTCAGATTACCTGCCTGTATTCACTGAGATTCTGCTTACTACCCTGGCTAATCATTTGACATTTTCTCTGTAATTTCTCGGTGTTTAAAAATGTAACCAAAGGACCCCAATTCAACCCATGGCAGCTAATGCCATAATAAGTTCATTAGTTCTTCTATGTTTTACCTATCCATTCCCTATGGACAGGTACAAAAATCCAGTGNTGAGTCAACCCTGAGCCGGTGGGATTTGAACCGCTGAACTGCTGATCTAGCAGTAGCCTGCAGTGCTGCATTTAACCACTGCGCCACCTTGGCTCCCGCCACCTTGGCTCCATGATGTGAAGTTTTATATAAATCAAGCAAATCTACCTTGGTAAAATGTTTATTTCTTTACTTTTATGGCCACCTATCTCACAAGAAGTGCCTGGGAAGCAGCATAATATAAAGATATCAAACTAATATGTCAAAAAGTAGTCGTTAGTAAAAAGTTAATACTTACATCTCTATTAAATTCCTATGGTCACCCAATATATGGAACATGAAGAATGGGTAGAGAAGTTTTAAGTGCAAATGCTGGCAGAGAAGTATGGTATGTAGTCTCTTGAGAGAAATCTTTGCCTCCCGGAGAAAGTTGTCAGAAAATCTCAGCAGGTGGTAGCATCTCCCTGAACTTGGCTGACTTCAAAAAAAGCAAGCTGGGTGGTATTTACTGGAGATGAGGTAATCTAAAAATATTTCGGAAGACGTTGATGGCAAAGGACTTCACTATTGTATCCATGAAACAAGCTTGGATGTTGCCCCGTGGTTGTGAGAATTTAGCTTGACTCCCAGTTAGGCTGTATCATTTGTCTCCTAAAGGTGTCCTTAGTATAGAAGGACATTAGCAGCTGTCACATTCCCATCAATTTAGTCCAGTATTTCTCAACCTTGGCAACTTGGCTGAAATGTTTTAGAGACTAGAATGGCAGCCAGTGAGGCTACCGTAATGTGGGAGTCACATCCTTCATATAAATGCAGGTAGTCTTCAACTTACAACTGTAGTTGAACCCAAAATTCTGGTTGTAAATCATTGCAGTTGTTAAGTGGGTTGCTATGTTGCCAGACTCTTATTTTACATCATTTTTTGTGATGGTCGTTAAATGAATCCATTTTACACAATGGACCCTTTTTGCAAGTAACCAGCAAACAACTGACAAAAGCCAAAAAAATTATAGGCAGCCAAGCGACCAGTTGTAAGTTGAGCACTACCTGTGATTGCAGTCAACAGAATGGTTACTGTATTCTGAACAATCTTCAAGGACAGCCCCATATAGAATGCCTTGTAATAGTCCAGATGGGCTAAATATAAGGTTATTTGTACTTCTGAATTTGCTTTCGCGGTACCTGTCCAGAAAAAAGTTTTAAAGCTGAAAAGTCCCAGGACATTAGAAACAATTAGGAAAGTGAATGGAGATAGGATTGATGGGTTGGATAGTCATTTGGATCTGGTATACACTACCTCAGCTGAGGAAAAAGGTCAGTCTTGTTCCTTGCCCCTTTGTCATATTAATGAAATGTAATTTGCTCTTTGATTGAACTGAGAGATTTCTGTACTAGCACAGTCTCAGGAAAGAGTAATTTTGCCTTTTATTTCAAGTTTTGTTCTTATGTTCTCCTGAAACTATCCCTCTTCTTCCACCAGATGAAATATGTGACTATTTTGGGGTGAAGATTGCCATGTACTTCGCATGGTTGGGCTTCTACACGTCAGCCATGGTATACCCTGCTGTCCTTGGCTCCCTCCTCTACACCTTCACAGAGAATGATCAGGTGAGGCGTTGAAGGGCATAGCAATGGCATGATGGCATAAGTGGAAGGCTGGGTGGAAAAAGAAATGGTTGTTTGTGTTTTGGCATCCTGAAAAGGAGCAGATTATGCGGAAGAGTTTGAAAAACAAACGCCCTTTAAGAATTTAGTGGGAAAAGGGCAGAGAGAGGACCCCCCCCCCCAAAAAAAATGCTGATCTACAAGAGAGGTGGATAGTTGTCCCTAAAACTATTCTTACTGCCCCTGCTACCCTTGGACATCCAGTTGCCCTCCCTCTTTGCTATCAGTGAGATCCATGCAGATGTAAATGGTGGAGAAAAACACTATTTAAGTTCCGTTCAGAATGCTGGAAATTGTGAGAACGGAAAGGCTCCTTTTGACAGATTTGACGCTGCCTAAAATTGCCATATTCACCTGCCTATGGCAGAATCCAAATGCATGCAGACAGGTGGAAGAAGAACTTATCTTTATCTGTCTATTTTATTTCTATGCCGGGGTTCCTCAGTCTTGGCAACTTGAAGATGCAAATGGTTCTCCTTAAGCCTGGGGGGTGAAATCTTACACCCCTCAGAGAGGGCCCGCAACTTGGGTGTCCTCCTGGACCCACAGCTGACACTAGAACATCATTTGTCACCTGTGACCAGGGGAGCTTTTGCCCAGGTTCGCCTGGTGCACCAGTTGCGGCCCTACCTGGACCGGGAGGCACTTCAAATGGTCACTCATGCNACTATCCCGTTCATCAAAACAATTGGTGCAGCCACAGCTCCCCGTGCTTTTTGGTAAAACCATTTCTTTGCAAAAAAGCCAGAAGGGGACATAAGGGCTGCATCAAATTAAAAGAATAACTAATCTCATAAATCTGGACATTCTCATGTCCATTAATTTGGATTGTCTCATCAGTGATTTATTTCAACAGAAAAGTGGTTGAATTAGGGTTAGCAGCTAGAATAATTGGGCCAAACCTGGCCCTTTGAAGGGAAAGTCTCAAATCCTCATCTGTCGACCTTGAAACAAAACTGCTGTAATTGGAATTTTAGCCGAACATATTGTCTGAGACAGGCACCATTTCTTCCTTCCTTCCTAAGGGGCACCTTGTAAATTGAATCGTAGATCAAGACCATTTTTAAAAGGAACATTTAATGTTCACTTGCCAAATTAGATGCTTTTGTTCCTTACTTTTCCCTGCCCCCAATTCCCATGTTCAAGCTGTCCCTGAAATTGATCATGCTGGAAAGAATTTTAATCAAGCGAAAATTTAATTAGGGCAAAGTGTAGAATTACAAACGTAGGAGAATGAAGAGAGTTAACAGAAGAACATTTGTCTTCGCCTTCCTTCACCCTTGGACAGCTAAGGTGTCGCTTAAATATTTAATACAAACCAGGTAATACAAATTTCCCTGAAATTTGTGCGGTAGGTGGGGTGGAGTTGGGCTAGATAAGGGACTGTATAGCTTAAAGCAGCCTTAGAACAGGGGTGTCAAACTCGATTTCATTGAGGGCGGCATCAGGGTTGTGTTTGACCTGGGGGGACACACCGGGGGGGGGGCATGGCCAGCTTGATGTCACTCATGTCGGGGTTGCCTATGGAGGGTCGAGGGCTTTGCCAGTGAAAACGGGCTTCTGAGTTCCGTTTTCAGCTGTGAAGGCCTCCTGCAAACCTTTGCCAGTGAAAATGGAGCTCAGGGGCGCACGCATGCAGAGCAGCCCCATGGGTCAGATCTAAGCACCCCATGGGCCACGTCCAGCCCCGGGGCCTTGAGCTTGATTTCCCTGTCTTAAAAAGATAAAGGTGCTGTAATGTCAGAGAAGGTTGTCTTTCAATGGCTGGAAATTATGATTACAGTACAGATAGTCCTTGACTCATAGCTATGCGTTTAGTGACTCTTTGAAGGTACAACAGCACTGGGGAAAAAGTGACTTATGACCAGTCCTTGCACTTACGACCACTACAGCATCATGTGATCAGAATTTGAGTGCTTGGCAACCAGTATGTATTTATGACAGTTACAGCATCCTGGGGTCATGGACTCACCATTTGCAACCTTCCCAGCTGGCTTCCAATAATGGTCACATGATTTGCTTAACAACTGCAGCAATTCGTTTAACAACTGTGGCAGGAAAAAAAGGTCACAAAATCACTTTAACAACTGCCTGGCTTAGCAATGGAAATTCTAATCCCAATTGTGATGATAGATTGAGGACTATTCTGTATTTGCACATAAGAAAACCAAATAGCACGGAATAGAAAGAAATTACATAGGAATCATACCTTGTTCAAAAATGGAAATGGAATAAATGTGAGGGAGGAATATGATGGGGATTTAATAAAGATATGTTGGTTATTATAAGACAGTGTTTCTCAACCTTGGCAACTTGAAGATGTCATCTTCAAGTTGCCAAGGTTGAGAAACACTGTTATAAGAGGACCAAGCATTAGGTCCCACACATGTTATTTTAGTCTATCTTAATCATTGCTGTCAGAAGCATCAAGATACATAAAAAGACGAGAGCTTTGTTCATCCTGACTTTTTTCACCGCACTATGCAGACACCCTGATCACTGAATAATATATCCTAAATATATATATTAGTATGGACTTGAAAGGAAGATGATGTTGAATTTAAAACAGTCGCCCTCTAAAAGAGATTAAGGGAGGGGGGACCCTGCTTATCCTTCCAAAAGCCACACAATTAATCCTAATACTGCTACCGTTTTGAAAATCCCTTAAAATTTATCACATACAGCAGGCCATGGTGGAAAGCAATTTTATCACCCCGTACTGATTATGGGCTGTTATTCCTTAGTTCTTGGTGTTTCTTTTCCCAATATAGTAATATATCCATTTTTCCCCCCACGGTTTGCCACGTTTCCTACTTGTTTTATTGTCCTAATAAATTGCATGACGCCTAGATTGGCACACTTGACTGTGGCAGCTTATAAACTGAACAAACAAAGGAAATTTGGATAACATCCAGAACACTTGGATATGATCTATTTGAGGGCCATAACACACATCTCATATTTATTATTCTCTCTCTCTCCCTCTCCCTCCCTCTCTCTCTCTCTCTCTTTCTCTTTTATTTCTCTTTACATTTTGAGTTCAGTTGTTCCTCTTACATACTGTGTTATTTAAACTTGGATCAAGCTTAAGTTGTATTGATTATTCTCATGCACCATATGACCAAGCTTGCCTCTGGGCCTGACTTGAGCGTAGTTAGAAAATAAACAGAGTAAGTGGGATTAGTCTCTTGTTTGAAAGAGTTCACACCTGTAAGGCAAACAAAACATAGGCAGAACAGGACAATCCAGAACCCTCTGAGGGCAGGAAGAGGAACCACAGTGAGGAAAGGCCTCACTGTTTACCTTCTAGTAAATCACTGCTATTTTATTAATAAACAAAAACACCCACAGCCCATTGTAGCTCCTTGACATTAATGCTCAGGGAGCATCCTCAACAGTCTGGATGGGCCTTCCACCTCAAAAGGCTGGCTCTCTTCTTGTTTTGGAATGCATTTCCATATTCAGTCTGTTTCGTGGCCTATTGCTAGCATGGTAGCTCTCTGCCCAGAAATGTGATTGACCATGATGGTGCCAAGGAATGGTGCTCAGGGGGCTATGGTTAGTGTCAGAGGTGGTATTCAGCAGGTTCTGACTAGTTCTGGAGAACTGGTAGCGGAAATTTTGAGTAGTTTGGAGAACCAGCAAATACCACCTCTGACTAGCTCCGCACCCATCTACTTGCTGCCTTCCGAGTCCCAGCTGATCAGCGTCCCAGCTGATCGGCTGGGTCTTCTTCTGTTGCCCTGCACAGGAGAATGGAGCTGGAAAGCAGGTTAATGGGGTAGGGAGGGAATGGGGATTTTACAGTATCATCCTTCCACTGGAGTGGGGTGGAAATGGAGATTTTACAGTATCCTTCCCCCAGGAGTGGGGAGGGAATGGGGACTTTGCAGTATTCTCCCCCTGCTACGTCTACCAAGTCATACCATGCCACGCCCGCAGAACTGGTAGTAAAAAAATTTAAACTGGTTAGTATGGAGAGCTAAAAAGGAGGTTTCTGGATTGTTGCTCTGCTCCATTCTTCTTCCTTTCTTCTTTTCACAGTCCCTGAGCTGGCTGCTCGTGGTATCCTCCAGCAAGTCTTCCCCATCCACGAGCAACGGATTCTGAACCGGCTGATGAAATCGTGGGTACAAGCCATTTGTGAAGCCCAGCCTTTGGGTATGGACCCTTGTCTCGCATAAGTCCCTGCCTAGAATATTTATTAGGATCCTACCTCCGTACTTCTGGTTTTTTTTTCTCCCTACATTCTACTAAAGTAGCTTGTGAGATTTGTTTTGCTTTATTAGAGTTGAAAATTAATGCTATTTCCCCCCCACTTGAAATCATAAACTGCCTAAGTGACCCAGGGCTATTGTTTGCCCAGCACAAAGGCCCTGACTCTCTAACATGATCTGAACCGAACCATTTCTCTGTAAATGTGGTAAAGGAACTAAATTTATTTCATGCTGAGCCGGATCAGCATAAGCATTTTACAATGCAGATTTCACTAAGCTCCGAAAACCAAATCTGCTATAACCCAGGCAAACACAAGATGGCAGTAAAGGATTGCTTTTTCTGGATCTCTCTGCTGCCATCTATTGGCTATGCAGACCTTGCAATTCAAACATTGTACAGTAGCAGTATTAGATGATAGCTAGAAGATGTACATCATTTTCTAAGTGTGTGGAGTTGCCTTCATACAAAATATGAAAAAAGATACTCACCAGAAGTGAAAAAAGCTGCGAATTATGCGGTGGGGGGGGGGGAGGTTGGAAGTGAATTATTTCTGCAAAAGATGAGGAAGAAAGATGGACAGAGAGAAAAAAAAAGTTAAAAAAACATAGTCAAAGAATAAAGATTAGTAAACGAGGCTGAGAAAATACAGAGGGTTTTTTGGAAGAGGGAGAATGATAGCAATAGCAATAGCAGTAGACTTATATACCGCTTCATAGGGCTTTCAG